TTTTAATGGGGGAAGTTTAATAGTTAAAGAGGATGCCACTTAAGAGTTGAGGTTGGCAGTCCTCCCCCCAGGTTGCATGTTCAACCCAAACCACATTTCAAGGCTGCAAACCAACAACCCACTATCTAACTCCCTGCAGCCATTCAGAGAGAGGTCCAAAACCCATGCTCAGCAGAGGGAACACACTAGTTGGAACTTTACTATCATTACAAACAACTACCTGAACCAAATTCAAATATCTGAATTTTAGCTGTTTAAGCTAGAAACTCTCTTGGGAGTTGTCAAAAAAAAACAATTCCTACTGAGGTTAATCACTCAAAAAGGACAACTAAAGTGATAAATGCCCAGCAAGTATTTAAATGGCATAATAAATAGCCTAAATAACATATATCTTTAAAATTAATTATCATAGAGTCAACCTGGAACATAAGACAATGTTAGACAATAGAAAATAGTCAGGCCCTCCCTTGTGGTACAGCAGATTAGGACGCAGCACTGCAAGCTAGCCACAGCTGCTTCAGTGCAAGTTCAATCCCTGGCCCGGGAGGTGACCACATGGCGTGGCAGACCTCTCCTGACCTGCCCACTGCTCCCCTCAGCAGTGTTCTTCATCAATCTGCCTGTTCTGCTTCCCACTCTGTCTCTGGTGAATCCTCTCACCACCTATGCACCTCTGGCTTGTACCCCAGTTCTATATGTATAAAAAATAAATCTTTAAAAAAAGAAAATACAGTCAGTTCTACTCTAGTGCTTGTTTTGAACATTTTGTTCCATCATGATCATTATGTTAACAATCAATTTCAAATAACATGAATTTTGTATTTGCTTGTGATTTTTTGGTCACAAGGAACACCAGATGAACATAAAAAACTGTACCAACTGAACTGAGTCACACAGGAATACACAAAACACACACACACCCCAAAACATCTAACAGCAACCACAATTCGCCATGTTAACGCATGTTATGAGCCACACCTATCCACATCTGGTGCTGCACCTGCCTGTTCAATTTCAAATGACCTTCCTCCTATCACCTCACAGTACCGTACAAGCTGCAATCTCCTGAAGCCCACCTCCACAAGAAAACTTCATGTCTTTTTCAAAGAAGTATTTCTTAACCACTGAGTATCTACAATGAACAATTTATCAAGTTCATATTCCCCCTTTTTTAATATGGCACTGAGAACGTTTTTGAGTACTATGCCTCCAAACCTCATTTCCCCATAAGCTCTGTGGTTTTTATTGTGCAGTTTTGCACAGCACAGTGATTTTTAAGAATGCATATGTTACATTATAGTAGAACTAGATGTGTATGCCCAATTAATAGTTTTAAAAAGCAAACAGTGGGCCCTCCCTAGTGGCCCAATGGGTGAAAACACAGCACTATGAAGCTGGCCGCCACTCCTTCAACAAGAGTTCAATCTCCAGCCAGGAAGATGACCCACAAGGTGTGGCACACCTCTCCAGACCCAACTGCTGCTACCCTCAACAGTATACTTCATCAATCTTGCCTGTTCTGCTCCCTACTCTGTCTCTGATGAATCCTCTCACCACCCACCACACACCTCTGGCCTGTACCCCAGTTCTGTATGTATAAACAAATACTTAAATGATAATAAAATAAAAACAAAATGTAGATCAATATATATGCATATATAAGTATGTACACATACATATATAAATCCTACTTTTGTTAAAAAATATATCTCACATGTATTTACATGTGTATTATGAAAGCTTAAGAAACATTCTGGGGGCCTTCCCTGGAGATGTAATGGGTTAAAGCGTAGCATTACCAAGCTATTGCAGCCACTGCAGCCTGAGTTTGATCCCCAGTCAGGGAGCTGACCTACATGGCACAGCAGACTGCAGACCTCTGCTGACCTGCCCACTGCTCCCCTCAGCAGTGCACTTCAGTAACATCTGCCTGTTCTGTTTCCCACAATGTTTCTGGTGAATCCTCTCAATCCCCACATCTCTGGCCTACACCCCAGTTCTTGTATGCATAAATAAATAAATATAAATCTTCTTTAAAAATAAATAGTATGGTCCCTCCCTGGAGGCACAGCAGGTTAAAGCACAGCACTAAGAAGCTAAAACCACTTCAGCATGAGTTCGATCCCAGCACCAGAGGTGACCCACATGGCATGGCAGACCTCTCCTGACCCGCCCACTGCTCTCCTCAGCAGTATACTTAGTAGATCTGCCTGTTCTGTTCCCCACTCTCTCCCTGGTGAATACTCTCACCACCCCTGCACCTCTGGCTTGAACCCCAGTTTTGTATGCATAAATAAATAAATCTTTAAAAAAAATAAGTAGTATTATAAAAGACAGTCTTAGAGATCAGGAAAAGTGGTATTTAGGGGGAGAATTTAAGGATAAAAAAGAATGGGATTGATAATGAGAGATGAGCAATGACGGAGAAAAAGGGTTTGAAGGCTTTGAGCCCTTCATAGAAGAAGCCAGTATGGCTAGACAAAAACAAAGGAAGGAAGAGAGATAGAAGATAAAGTTAGAAGTACCCAGAGCCAAATCAAGTGGACCCCAGTAGACGATGCTAAGGATTTTGGACCCGATTTTAAAAGCGCACAGAAACAAATTTCAAGCAGGGAAAAGAATATGATCTGGAAGTTCATTTGAGTTACTGTCTAAAATAAAAATGTCTAAGAAAGACCAGTAATAAATGTGAACAACCAATAGGTATGTTTTTCAACAGTATGTGGGTTACTGAAACAATTATAGTTTGGAATAGGATGGGTGGTTAATAGATAAAAGTGGGTTGATTCAACTTATGTGTAGGCAGTAAATTCAATAGGTCTTGGTACTGACTGGAGATAGCGATATAGAAAAGGATGAGTCATGTGTCTAAGCAAGAGCACTTTTCACATTTCAGCTTTTAGTCATACTGAACTACTTCAAGTTCCTTAAACCATTATGCCTGTTTCCAACTACCAAGCCTAGCAGTAGTATTGTTCTTACAGTATCTTCTAGCTGCATAATATCTCCATATCCAGCCTTATATGCTCAGATTAGGTGCTGCATCTGCATGCCTCCAAGACTCATTTTATAATCATAAAATTTGACACACTGCATTATATTATATATATTATAATCACACATTTGTCTTTCCTACAAGTATGAGTGCTCCCTGAGGTTTAAGATACTTTGGGGTTGGGCCCTCCCTGGTGGTACAACAGGTTAAAGCACTATGAAGCTATCTGAAGCCACTGCAGCCCAAGTTCTATCCCCGTATTTAAATAAATCTTTTTTTAAAAAAAATAAAAGATACTTTGAAATTGTTTCATCCTTCAAAAAAATTATTTATTTATACATACAAAAACTGGGGTTCAGGCCAGAGGCGCAGGGGTTGATAGTGTTGAGAGTCTAACCCCTGTGCCACCAGGGAGGCCCCTCCCCACTTTGATGCTTTTTTACTTTAAAGATAGGTGGTGGAGCTAATGCGATAGAAAAATCTACTTCTTATCCATACAGGCTTCCAGTTTTTATAATCCAAACTATATGAGAGCAGCAGTGAGCAATAAAATATTGCAGCAAATCTGCTGCAGCACATCTGCTGCAGAACCTGGACATAGTGAGATCCCATGCACATCATGGCACACAGGAGGTTGGATTTTCATTTATAAGCAATGACTTTTTCCAAGTCTTCCAGAAAACAGGTGAGGACTATAGATCTAGGAAGATAGATGGAAATTCTAAATTAAACCCCAAAGGACAAGTCATCCTACCATCACCTATGACTCACTTGAAGCAGACAACTATACCTCTAACTTCAAAGGGAAAACAGAAATCCTCAAAAATGTCCTCCTATATCTTTCTCCTATAACATCCACAAACTTACCAGCATCCCCGGTTATCTGCTCCTCCTTTCCCTCAAGCATCAGAGGGATGTCTCATCCTTACTTAGGCTAATAACTTATAATCCTCTGAAAGGAACCCTCCATGACATGTATCTCCTTTTTCCCTTAGATCTTCAAGTTAATCACATATGTTTTCCCTGAGTGACAGAACCAACTGTCTTAACTTTAATACTAATATAAGAAAATGCCTTCAAACAGTTTATGCCCTGGCGTAGACTTCAGGTATCTGTTTCTCAGTTTCAGATATTTCTTAGCCTCTGAATATCTCCACTTCAATGTCCTACAGAAATGACAAACCCTAATATGTTCAAAACTAAACTCACTTATCTTATTCCTAAAACCAGCTACATCTATATTTCTTATCTCAGAGAATGGACCATCATCCATCCACCCAGTTTTCAAGCCAAAAACCAAGGTATTACTTTCATTCCTCCTTTTCCCTTAGCTCCCCATGTTCAATTAAGTCATTGTACTCCTATCTCCAAAGCCATTTCCTGGTACAGATCCTTTTCTCATCTATCTTCAAGAACTACAGCATCCTCTTACTCTATTTCTAAACTTACTCTTCTTCAAACTTTTCACAAAGCAAGAATTATACTTCTAAAATTTCCTTATTTAAGCATTCAACAGTACCCTACTACATTCAGGACAAAGATCAAAATTATTTATTGACCTCCAAGATCTGGTACCAGCTCACCCCAACTCCACTATGACTTTTACTCCTCCAGGCACAAGGAACCACCTATTCATTGTTTTCCCACTACTGTATTCTCTTTCCTAGCTTCACAAAAATCCCACACAGAATCTAGAAACATTGTACTGAGAACTTCAAACCCAAAGCAGCAAAACTTCTCATCCTATACTATGTAAATAAATCTTCATTTAGAAAAATCACTTTTACTAAATTCTACAGTGCCACATAGTGGTGAGAAAGCAACACGCCTAGTAAAGATAAAGGCAGTGTAGGTGATGAGACGGATGAGGATGTCAAGGAGCGTGAAGTAAATAGCCTTCCATGTGATTAGTGGGAAATGTCTTGCAAGTGCCTCACGGTTAAGTACCAAGATGCCCAGAGTTATTTAGCTAGTCTGGCTCATTACATTACACTTAGGAACTTACTTCACTGGGACTCAAGCTGACCAGCCCATTCTCCTGCTCAGAATCCTTCCCAGACTCAGTGCCCTGAGAGGACCGGGGATGGGATGGATGAATCCAGATTTCCAAGCGAGTGGTGTCATCTCCAACATGGCGGAAAGTTGACTTCTTTCCTTTCCTCCATTGGTCTGGGCTCAGTTCTAATTCCTCATGTTGCTTCTTTTCCATCTGTTCTGCCTATACAACATAAAAGCATATAAATTCAGAGTGTTGGGAATCAGCTAATAAAGAGAAGCACTCATCTCACCTGAGTTTGTTGCCCAACATCTATAAAATGTAAAGACTTTGCCACATCTCAAAGTAGCAGACTGTCATCTGCTTTGTCTCATAAATTAATTCTATAACCTAGATACTGTATAAAAGGCATGCCTAAGGGCTCCAGGTGAGCCCTCCTGAAGATGAATTTATTTCTGCACAGAGCCTGACTGATTCCCTATCAGCATAGCCTGATGGGACCCTTTAAAATCATTGTCAGTGATTCCCTGAAGAAACAAAGGCACTATGAGAAACAAATTATTCTGGGAAGGAATGATTCTGCCAGCATGCCCACTCACCTTTCGTTTGGTTTCTTCAAACAAACTCATGAGACTCTCCTTGGCAGTAAGGATAGGGTTGCTGGCAGCTAAACTGCGCATATAGTAATACACAGCATCAAGCTTCCTCCTCTGTGGAAAGAAAACCAGACACTCTGAATCAATCTGAGAAAGTGACCCAGGAAACCCCTCAGCAGTGTATTTCAATCTGTCTCTTCAGCTCTCCACTCTGATCTGGTGAATCCTCTCACCCTCCACACCTCTGGTCTGTACCTAGCTCTTTAAAAAAAAAAAAAAAAGAATGCTACTTTTGCCCCAGAGTTTATTCATTCTTCAAAATGAATGGGCCTCTGTGGAGGCCTAGGGGTTAAGTCTCAGCAGTATCTCTGGGATAGCCTGAGTATGATCCCACATATGATGCAGCAGACCTCTCCTTTTTTTTTTTTTTCCTTGCAGTGGAATATTTTTTTTTACCTGCCCAAAAGTCAAGTGCTACATTTTTAAAAACAAATGCTCCAGTCTATTTCAGTAAACTTTTGTACTGGAATTATAAACACCTCTGAAAATAATTAAAAACCTAAATAAATGGAAAATATCCTACTATGGAGTAAACTTGATATTATAAAGATATAATCCATAGAACCAATGAAATCCTTATCAAAATCACAAAGACAATTATTGTAGAAATGAAAAAGTCAACCATAAAGTCCAGATGGAATTACAGGGACCACCACACAGCCAAAAAACTCTTAATAAAAAAGAACAAACTTGGAAAATTGAAATGTCACAATATCAAAACTTATCACAAAGCTATAGTAATTAAAACAATGTGGTACTGGCATAAGAACAGACATAGAGATCAACAGAAGAGAACTATGAGTCCAGAAATGCACCTATACACCACTGATTTTTGACAAGGGTGCCAAGACTACTTAATGGGAAAAGAACAGTCTTTTCAATAATTGGTGCTATGAGAATTGGATGTGCACAAGAATGAAAAGAATGAGACTTTACCTCACACCATATATAAAAATTAACCAATATGGATCACAGGCCTAAATATAAAACCTAAAAGTCTCAGAAGAAAACATACTAAATCTTCTCAACTTTGAATTTTGTAATGGTTTCTTAGCTAATACCAAAAGCACAAGTTACAAAAGGTAGAAAATTAGGCTTAATCAAAATCTAAAACTTTTGTGCATCAAGGATGATGAACAAGAGACTGAAAAAATAATTCAAAGTCTAGGAGAAAATGTTTGTAAATCATTTATCTGATTAGGGATCAGAAAATATAAAGAACTACATCCCAATGAAAAACCACCCAGGGTCTCTCCCTGGTGGTACAAAGGGTTAAGTGGCACAAAGGGTTAAGTCTCAGCACTACAAAGTTAACCCCAGCCACTGCAGCATGAGTTGACCCACAGCAGACCTTTCCTGACTTGCCCGCTGCTCCCCTCAGTGGTTTATCTCAGTACAATCTACCTGTTCTGCTTTGTTTCTGTTGAGTCCTCTTTTACACACACCCTGCACCTCTGGCCTATACTCTAGGTCTTGTACGCATAAATAGATAAAATAAAAGGCAACAACCCAACTGAAAAACAAATATAAAGCTATACAAAAAGTCAACAAGAACTTGAAAAGAACACTAATTTTTGAAATGCAAGTCAAAACCATACCATACCACTTCATAGCCACTGGGATGGGTACTATTAAACAAACAAAACAATAAAAATGAGTGTTGGCAAGGCTATGGAGAAATTAAGCTACTTATACACTCAGTTGGAATGTAAAACTTGTGCAGTTGCTCTGGAAAACAGTATGGCAGTTTCTCAAAATATTGAAAATAGGATTACCATATGACTCAGGAATTCTATTTCTGGATAAATTATCCAAAAAATTGAAAGCAGTATCTTGAAGAGATTTTGTACACTCATTTTCATAGCAATATTATTCACAATGGCCAAAAGGTGGAAGTAACCCAAGTGTCCACTGACAGAGGAATGAATAAACACATACAACTGTGTATACATACAACTGAATATAGTTTAACCCCAACATGGAAATTCTGACACAAGTTGTTAAATGGCAAACTTGAGGTACATGCTAAATTAGTTAGTTATGAAAAGACAAATACTATATGATTCTACTTGTATCAAGTACCTAGAGTAGAAAATCCATACATACAAAAAGTACCAGTGGCAGAGGCTAGGGGGCAGAAGAGAATGTGACTAGTGTTTCATGGACATAGAATCTCAGTTGTTTATTTTTATAAGTATAATTTCCGTTTTATTTTTCCCCAGAGAGTGTCGGGGTACCGGGGGCGAGAGCAGTTTTTTTCAGTCCTTAAGAACTTAGTTCCTTTACATGGCTCTGGAGGCAATCATGGAGCAACACCCAACAGTGCTTCCAGCTTCACCAGAACCATTCCTGACTATCTTGCCAGGAAGGCACTAGTCAGTAAATTTCACATATGACTTGGGAAGCACATAGGCATCGAAGACATTGGCTTTAGGTATGACTATGATGACTGTTTCAGATGACACTTCTTAACAGCTTTGTCCTTAGGCCCACATGGGGCACAGCTGCTACAGCAAATAGGCAAGTGGTCATTGTCCCTTTTGGCACAACAATTATTCTTTTCTTGATCATCTTGGAAGCAAAGACCCGAGAGAGGTAGAATTTCTGTTTAAGATTGAAGCATTCTGGAAATTTGTTGCACAGCAATATGAAGGTACTTAATTAACACTACTCAACAGTATACGTAAGAATGGGTAAGAGGGTCCTTCCCTGATGGCGCCGTGGATTGAGGCGCAGCATTATGAAGCTATCTGCAGCCACTTCACCATAAGTTCAATCCCTGGCCAGGCAGGTGACCCACATGGCACAGGAGACCTCTCCAGTCTCACCTGCCACTCCCCTCAGCAATGTACTTCATCAATCTACCTGTTCTGCTCTCCACTCTGCCCCTGGTGAATCTTTTCACCACCCCTGCACCTCTGAGGTCTATATGCACAAATAAATAAATCTTACCACCCCTGCACCTCTGAGGTCTATATGCACAAATAAATCTTAAAAAAAAATGGATAAGATAATTTTTATGTGTATTTCACAAAAATTACTTTTTTAACTAAAAAGTGGGCAAAGGATTTAAACAGACATTTCTCCAAATGGCCAGTAAGTCTATGTAAAGATGTTCAACATGAAATACCATTAGGGAACAGCAAAGTGAAAAGAGATACTATTATGCACCAATTAGAATAACCAAAATCCAGCACCCTGCAAATGCCAAGTGCTGACAAAAATGCAGAACAACAAGAAATCTCTTTCACTGTTGATGGGACTGTGAAATGGTGCAGGTACTTAGGAAGACAACATTCCAGTTTCTTTTTTTAGTTCCAAAACTAAATATACTCCACGTACATGATCCAACAACTACATTCTTTGCATTTACCCAAATGAGATAAAAACTTTTCTATACAAAACCCACACACAAACATTTACAGCATCTTTATTCAAAATTGCCAAATCTCGGAAGCTACCAAGATGCCCTTCAATAGGACATGTGACTGTCCTACTGTGAATAAACAAATGGTGTACGTCCATATAACATAGTATTATTGAACAAAAAAGAATGAGCTATCAAGCCAAAAATACAACCCTAACTGCATGTTGCTAAATGAAAGAAACCAATCAAAAGCTACATACTGCATGGTTCCAATTACATGACATTCTAGGAAACATAAAATTTCTTGAAGAGTCAGGAAAAATGTGAATGGTTGCATAATATTCAAGGCAGAGAGGAGGAATGAGTAAGTGGAGGGTATCTTCAGGGCAATAAAACTATTCTGTATGTCTACATGTAATTACCATATATTTGTTCAAAACCATATAATGCACAGCACTAAAAATAAATTCTAATGGTATATCCATAGTTAATGTATGAACAGTGGCTCACCAATTATAACAAAAGTACCACAATGGGGGAGTGACTGAGGAAGCAGCTGCTGCTCCTAGTTTCTAGCTAAGCCTAAAACTGACCAAAAAGGAAAAATACTTAAAAAAACAATCTCCAGGCCCTCCCTGGTGGCACAACAGGTTAAAGCTCAGCACTATGAAGCTATCTGAAGCCTGTAGCATGAGTTTAATCCTGGCCAGGGGGGTGACCCATATGGCACAGCAGACCTCTCCTGTCTCAACTGCTGCCCTCAGCAGTATATTTCAGTAGATCTGCCTATTGTGTTCCCCATTCTGTCACTGGTGAATCCTCTCTTATACCACCTCCCTGGTGGCCTGCACCCTAGTTCTTATATGCATAAATAAATAAATCTTTTTAAAAAATCTCCAACTAGGAAAAAAAAATCTTACAATGAGGTATGACTTCACAACCACTAGCTTAATCACAATCAAAGAAACGAAAATAACAAATGTTGGCCAGCACCTGGAGAAACTAGAACCATAATGCACTGCTGGTAGGAATGTAAAATGATACAGCTGCTATGAAAAATAGTTCGTGGGTTGTTCTAAAAGGTAAAGGAAATTACTATATGACCCAAGAATTCCACTAGTAGGTAAAGACTTAAAAGAACTGAAAAGACATTCAAGCAAATGCTTAAATTTCACAAAAGCACTATTCACAATAGTTAAAAGGTGGAAACCACCAAAATATTCATCAACTGACGAAAGTGTTTTTTAATGTGGTATATCCATACAATGGAATATTATTTCAGACATAAAAATGAAATACAGATACATGCTATAGTATGAATAAACCTCAAAAATTATATGCCAGATGAAAAAAGCCTGACATAAAGGTTATTTTATTATATGATTCCATTTATATGAAACACCCTGAATTAAGTAAATTCAAAGACAGAAAGTACACTAGTAGTTGCCAGAAACAGGCAGGAGGAAGGAACAGTAAGTAGTAATAGGTATGAAGTTTTCTTTTGGGTAATGAAAATGTCTTTGAACTAGACAGAGTTAATGGTTACACGATAGTGAATAGTATAACCAATGATTAGCTTTATGTCATGTGAATTTTACCACAATTTTTACAAGTTTTTACAAGGAGAAAATTATCTTAAATATACCATAAAGAATAGGACAGAGGTAAAAAAAAAAAAATCAAGAGAAATTTCTGAACATTCAGAAAGACATGTATTAGTAAACCATATTACTTAATCTAATGATTACAATCCATAATTAGAGATTTCTTTAAATATTTTATCAAATAAATATCAATTCAAACACTGTTTAGTTGGACAATGAATTTGATAGCATTAATAAAACTTTTTTGAAGGCTTTCCTAGGGGTTAAGGCTGAGCATTATCATTGATAAAGCCTGAGTTCAATCTCCAGCCAGGGAGAGCGCTAACACACATATGGCGCAGCAGACCTGTCTCACCCCCTGCTGCCCTCAGCAGTGTACTTCAAGTAGACCTGCATATTCTACTTCCCATTCTGTCTGTCTCTGGTGAATCTTCTCACCACCCACCACGCACCTCTGTCTACCCCCAGTTCTTCCACACTAAAAAAATAGAAAGAAAAAAAAAGAAACTTTCTCCCTACTAATAATCTCATTATGTTCTTAAATTTAAATCTTTGGCATCTACCATTAGCCCCCTTTGATTGAGCTTCCTCACTCTAAATGTGCTCTGTTAGAGGCACATTTAGAAGTGTCTGATAAGAAGTAGAGATACTGTGTTTCTACGAAGAAGGCTTTTAGGAGAAAAGCTAAGTATAAGAGTATGATCTGATGACTGAAGGCTAGCTGAGAACTTTAAGTGAAAAAGGTAAAGGGAACCTTATTCTATGCCTAGAAATGAGTAACTAATTTAACAGGATAGGGAAGGGAAGTAAGGTAAGATTCAGAGCAGAATCCTTGGTCAAAAACAAAGAATGGTATTTAAACCATGAGCCTTGCCTTTGAAATTTAAGTGCAGTGAAAGTGGACAAAGTACAGATTCAACTGAAGTCAGGGGGGTCACTGACAACTTACCTCTGAAAATAACAGTTATAAAAGGAGTTTGAGGATGACAGGCAAAAGAAGATATCCTTTGGGCTACAGTAATCAGATGAAATTTACTTCTAGGGGCTGATGCTATCAAAACCTGTATTTCTAAGTTACCACCTGTAAAACATTTGTCATCTTTCTTACCGTATACACTGCCAGCAAAGCCAACTGGTTATAGGGACGTCCATTCTTGGGAGCAATGTGCTGGGCCTTCAGGTACCAACTGAAATAAAGAAACAATAAAAAAGAATTGCTAGCTCTGTACCAACTCTCCCAATACATCACTTGACAGTTCTCACTACTTAAGGCCTAATTGGGAGCTTCAGCTGTAACCCTAAAGCAGTAATGCATAACTACAGAGACCACAGGGACAACTTTGGTCATCCATAAGGTAGGGAGTTCAGGTTGACGACTGCTCCTAACAGGGATTAGCTTAAAAGCTACACAGGCAAAAAAAAAAAAAAAGCAATAAACAAGAGGCGAGAATACCTGCGTGCTTTCCCATAGTTTGCTGTGTCATTGGCTTGTTCCCGATACCTAGCAATATCTCCTTGGCAAATCATACATCGCTGGGCACTGATCAAAGCATATTTTACCTTCAGGAAAAACAATCAGTTAGTATTATACCTAAGAAACTCTAACTTCAATCCCAAAGTTCAGAGATGGAGTCAAAATGACAAAGTAGCATTATTAACTGGCTCATGATTCTATGATGAGGGGAAGGAAAAAACTGAATTTCCCAAAGGCTCCTCTCAATAGCCTAGCTTGGGCTGACCTTTCAGCACCATCTTCCCCTTCACTCTCCTGTGCTTCATTCAGCCTAGACATCTCAGTTCCCCTAACACATGATGCCCTTTCCCCCTGCAGGACCTTCATACATACTGTCCCCTCCCTCCACAAAGTTGTTGTTCTCACATCTTCAGTACACCTTCACCTAGTCTCAATTTAACTGTGACTTCCTGTCTTCCATGATCCTCTAAGCACCTTTATAATATACCCAACACCATCTTTGGCAGAAGCCACTGCATCTGCAATTAGTGATCTAACATCACACCTCTAATCAACTTTAAAGAGAAAGAGCTGGGATCATGGCTTTCCTGTTCCACATTGGATTGCATGTACCTACAATAGCACTGACATATAGAACAATCTCAAAAAATACATGCCAATTTGTGATAGACTTGTGTACAGCAATTTATCACAAGAAAAGGGAAGACTGTGCTCCATAAATCATACTTCTTTTTCTAATGAATTTTTAATATCTTCCTTTCCCAAAGCTATTTCCTTTCAATAAATAATACTCACATCTCTCTCAACTTAAAAACAAACTTCTCTTGATCCCATATTCTCTTTTAACTATCTTCCTTGTATTCATAGCCCAGATTCTTTTTTTTTTAAGATTTGTTTGTTTGTCTGTTTATTTATTTATGCATACAGAACTAGAGTACAGGCCAGTGGTTCAGGGGCAGTGAGAGGACCCATCAGAGCCAGAATGGAGAGCAGGCAGATCTATGAAGTACACTGCTGAGTGGAGCAGCGGGCAAGACTGGAGAGGTCTACTGCGCCACGTGGGTCACCTCCCTGGCCAGGGTCAAATCAGCTGAAGCAGCTGCAGCTAGCTTCACAGTGCTGCGCTTCAACCCGTTGTGCCACCAGGGAGGGCCCAACAGCCCAGATTCTTAAAAGAATAGTTTACTGTTACTCTCTCATTGTTATCTATTGCCCCACTTCCCATAAACTACAATCTGGCTTTCATTCTCCCAAAATAAAACATGGTAAGGTCATGCAGTACAAAAAACATTTTTTAATTGTCCTAACATTTGATGTCCCATACCACTTGACAATTTCACTCACCATCATCTTGAAATTTGATCTACACTCTCTGGCCAGCCTTCCCAATACCCCAGCCTCCCAGCTTCATTAACACCTTTACATTGCTGACTCCTGAAGGTGTAAAATCACCACTCAACCTTTTCCTCCAAATGGACCAAAACATTCATTTATTGTTTTTTTCAAGTTCCCCTCTATAATCTTATCCAAAACAGAACTAAGCTCTACCAGGCCAGTCTCCCAAGCCACAAACTGAGAGATGATCTAGATTCCTCGTGTTTCCAATCTCATCATACACATCAAGTCAGTTTGCAGTTCAATTATATTTGCCTTATAGCTTTCCTACCTGTCTCCTCTTTTCCATCTCCCCTTTACTCTCCTATATTCACTCTTACCCAGCTCTGATCTAAATTCATACATTTGTTTGAGTGATTTGTTCTAAAGACAGATCTGTGTTAATCAATTGCTAAAAATCAATCAATGGGGCCTCTCTGGTGGCACTGGGGTTAAAGTCAGCACTATCCCCATCCAGGGAGCTGACCCACATGGTGCAGCAGACCTCTCCTGTCTTGCTTGCTACTCCCCTGCAATATATTTCAGTAGATCCACCTGTTCTGCTCCCTACTCTGTCTCTGGTGAATCTCCTCACCAACCATCCCCCCACACACACATACACACACACACACACACCTCTGGCCTACACCCCAGATCTTGTATGCATAAATAAAAATAAATCATTTTTAAAAAATCAATCAGTAGTTTCTCACAGCTTTCAGAATTAAGTCCAAACTCTTCAGCATGGCACATAAGCTTCTGATCTGCCCCTTACTACTCCATCAGGCTTTATCTCCTACTCCCCAACTCCACATTACACACACCAGCATACTGAACTTCATATGCTTTTTCCAGCAAGGTCTGTCTATCTCTCCCTGTGCACTGTATAAAGGTATCACTTCTATTCGTAGTGACATTTCAAGACTTCACTTAATGGGCCCTCCCTGGTGGCACAACAGGTTAAAATGCAGCACTCACTACGAAGCTATCCTGCAGCCACTGCAGCATAAATTCGATTCCCAGTCAAGGGGGTGACCCATGTGTGTATGGCAGACCTCTCCTGACCTGCCTGCTGCTTCCTTCAGGGTATATTTTAGTATATCTACCTGTTCTTCTGCTCCCCGCTCTGTCTCTGGTGAATCCTCTCACAGCTCCTCTGACCTGTACCCCAGTTCTTGTATGCATAAAAAAATAAATTAAAAAAAAAAACTTCACTTAATAGGCAGCTTTCCTGCCCAGCTGAAATTATATAGGTGCCTCTCTTTCTTTCTCATTTCCTTAATAAACCTGTCCTTCTAAAATGTTAAAGAAAAAGAAAATGCCATTTACCAATCTCAGAGAAGTCTTCCTTTACCCTTCCAAACTGAATCAAGCCCACATCCCTCTCTGCCCCCTCAGCAGGTGTGTGTGTGTGTGTGTGTGTGTGTGTGTGTGTCTACCATTACCATAGTACTTAAGACATTACATTATAATTTTATAATTGCAGGTTTAATCTGTGTTCCCCTACTACACTGCATCTTTCATTCTGTATCTTCAATACCAGACCCACTGCCTAACACTAGGTAAATGCTTACTAAATGAATGAGTAAATTTAAGATAAAGAAACTGGCTTACTGTCTTGCGTAATGGCTTGCTGCGAATGGCAAGACCATCCATGTAGTCCTCAAGTTTGAACTTGTAAGTAACCTGCAGCTTCTGAAGCAAACTATCAAAGAAGTCACTCCCCTATAAAGAGAAAAATAAGAAACAGCTGAATCAACCCCTTCTGATCCAATCTACCCACAAAAAAACTGGGGCAGGCGACCTTTTCAGTTCTGTTAATGCTTAGCCATCTCATGTAATTGGAAGCACATACAGTATACAGTGGTCACAAAGTAAGCACAAGACAAATTCATGGCGTAAGTCTCTACAGGGTTCAAAAGACCACACACACACACACATACACACACACACACACACACACATACACACCCTTATCTCCTTACCCCTGCCCCTACCAAAAGATATTCAGGAAGCTTCCAAACTCCAGTTGTCAGCAATTTATGTTTGCAAGGAAGCAGTGGAGGAGGGTAGGCCTAAACCCAAGAAATGAGCATGCAGCATGCAGCCTGTATGACTGTTCTAAAACATAGTATTTATGCTGTTAAAAACCCATCACAAGTGCAGGATGCTGTACAGGATGCTAAAGCCTAAGGACAAAAAGATGATGGTTTACCTCATCCAAAAGCTCCAAAAGTCTGTTCCGAATCTGTTCTGGGTTGTCAACATTCGGATCCTTGAGAAGCTGTCTGAACTTCTCAATCACCTGATAGAAAGCATTCTTCCACAGGATCTGATCCACATTCTGATTATCAGAGAATTCAATATCTAACAGAATACAGCGCTCATATAGCTGCAGCAGCTCAGCTCTGGAATAAAATACATGCAACTTCTAGTTCCATATATACCACAGGAAAGGCTAAACCCAAGATTTGAGCTTCCTGCAAATTAAACACCTTTCTTGGCAGGAAATCCAAAAGGCCATCAGGTATAGTACTCACTCTAGTTTCCATTCTGCACAGCAGAATGTCACTGTAAAGAGAGTTCTGTCTAGGAAAGTAGTTTTTCCCCATATGCCTCTACCTAAATTTAACAGCTGAAATAAGATCTTCACCGCAAGTTATATGTTGTTCATTTCTTGGCATTCTGGAGTCTTTCCTTTACCATTTCCAGATTCCATGCTCTCTTAAAGATTTTTTTTTTTCTTAAAGAAAAAGCAGGAAGTTCATTTTGAAAAAAAGAAATAATTTCTGTTCTGTTCTGTTCCCAACTGTCCCTCCTTTAAAAAAAAATCAAAATCAAAGCAAGAAAATATTTGGTGTTCTCATTCAGACTTACCTAAAAGGTTTTTACCTTCCTCAGCTATGTACACCCCTCCAGCTTCTCCCCATTTTCTTCTAGAGAGAATGGCACACACCCTACCTGAGCTGAGCCATCTTCTCCAGGCCCTCAGGGCTGATGCGGTCCCTGGAGAGCAGATTGCTGAGCTGCAGTTCCTGGTTGTCAGCTACCCGGAGAAGTCTATGTAACTCCTGTTGCTGCATATTTCTCATGTGTTGTTCCACCTCCTCAGGACTCATCGTGCTGGCAGGGAGAGGGCTACAAACATACTGTCCTGATGGAGTTGGGAAACCTGGGTAGTAAGGTCCTGGGTACACACCATTTGTAGGGCCCATTGGGTACTGCAGAGGGCTATAGCCTGTATAAGGATACTGGGAGGCAGGGCCTGGTGTCCGGGGGTAATAATAGGGATTATCAGAATTTTGAAACTTATAATAAGATGCTTGGGCCTGGCGTGAATCACCCCAAGATGTAGGACTGACTTCATCATCAGTGTCCAAGAAATGTAGCTGGGGTGTCTGGCTCTTTAGAGCAGGTTTTTGATCAGGATTGTTAGGGTCCCATAATCGTCGGGTGGTGGCTCCACGGCCCCAACTCCGAGATCCCTTATTACCAGATCCAAATAAAAGCCGAGGTCCTACAGGTGTAGACTCTGGAGAACCAGCTGAACTGACAGATAAGCTGGTATGGGCAGGCAGAATCAGAATGCCACGGCCACGACCCCGAAGTTCTTGTTTCAGGTTTTTGGAATCCTGCTGCTCACAGCCTTTGGCCCCACTGCTCAAAGCTTTGTCAGTCTTTATCCTGTCTGCATCCTCTCTGGCTGACCTCACCATAGGGGAATCTTTGTTCATGGTTTCTGCGTCAAAGGTGACACGAAGAGTTCCTCGATTTTCTTTGCCATTGCTTTTCTGCTCTCCCTCCCCATGGCTAGACCAGCTTCTTTCTAAATGTTTCTTTCTTTCAGAGTTCCTCCTGGACCCATCCGGCTCATCAATTCTGTCCTCATCTAAGGAGTCAGTGGAGGACATAGATACTTGCTTCTTCAATCGTGGTCTCTCCTTGGTTCGATCCTGCCGCCTACGACGACACCCACTGTCAGTCAGGCCAGTCCCCTCAGCACTGTTGTTGCTACCTGCAGAGCTGGTACTGCAAGTGCGGTAGCGGTTCCTTCGTTTGTCTGAGCGGGAGTATCTCCGTGCAGAACCGGGCTTGCCCTGTGCAGGGTCATCACTCACTTTTTTCATCATCCCCTCTCCTTTTTCAGTCCTCTTTCCTTTTTCACCCTTTGAAGCCCTTACTCTGTCACCATTTAGGTTCTTTTCTGCCTCACCTTTGTCTGTTTTATTCACAGCCTCCTCTTTTGTATTTCCCCTACATTCATCATCTTCTACTCTCAACTGTTCTACCTGGCTGAGGATGTCTTCCTCATCTGCCCGGTTAGTCAACTCCTTAGTAACAGTCTGTAAACGCCTCCCAGGCTGATAGATCTGCATGTCAGGTTTTTTTGTTCTCTTGATAATTCTTAGACTTCTATCCTCTGATCCAGCAGTCCTAGGAAAGGACTCCTGTGCCCGAATATTTTCTGGGTCTACAGGACCATTTTGCTGTTGGTTGTCCAATTCCTTGCAGACATCTTTAATGAGCTGGGTACCATTTCTAATAGCGGAAGAATCTCTGTCATTTACAATTTCATCCTTAAATTCATCACTCCCAGAGGGTTCCTTGATTTTAGTTTTATTCCTTAGTCGAGAGAGACCAGGTTTATAGATTTCCAGATCTGGGCGCCTATTATCTTTGCGCTGCCTGGGCTCCTTCATGTTTTCTGTGATAATGAAGAGGGTTGAGAAGCAAAGAATAGAAAAAAAAGGAGAAGGAAAAGAAAGAAAATGTCACTTTGGTAAAGTAACAGAAAAATCAAGAAAGAATTATACATTGAAATGTTAATCTTAATGGTAAGTAAAAAAAAAAATCTAGATGCAGAAATTCTACAAGGTTTATATTTGTTCAGCAACTGGCAAGGCTAAGAATCTAACTCTTGGACCTACCTACCCTTGGTTTAGGTAGACAGGGAAAGAAAACAAACTCTCTTGTGGTAGCAAAGCCACACTCAGATCTGTAAGACCCCAAACTACCTCATCATTGTGAGAATAACTGTTTTAAGTATTACACTTTTTTCTGCTATACGGCCTTGATTCATTTTAATCTTTTCTCTGCCTCCAGCATTTCTCTAGGGTGTTTAAGTCTTTTTAATATACTAGCAGGGGTAGAGGGTGGAAGAAGAGAAAAAGGGTGATATGCAATAACTCACAAATCTGGACATTTCTGGGAAAAAAAAATTTCCAACTCCAGTCCATGAACTTGAGCAATACCATCCTTTTTTTTTTTTAGTATACCAATCATTCAATCACATACCTCCTTTTGAAGAGAACAGGAAGCAGTTCCTCTCACATTCTTCAACTCCACTCATGCTCACCAACTCTCTAACAGCAGCCAGCAGAATCATTCCAAGGAAAAACTGCTCAGACTATCATCATTAGAATACTCAGACTAACTGCTACTATGATGATGGAATATGAGTAAGAAAAAGTTCCATAAGAGAGCTTTCTCTGGAAGATGATGAGAGTATTATGACATGCTCTCAAAATACCAAGGACAGGGGCATTCAAGAATACCTTACAGAACTTTAGAACCACTCTTCTGGCTCAATGAACTTACTGAATGATAGACAAGCAACCTTCTATTTGCATCTGTTACCTTTCTTAAAAGGTGACTACTACAAATAGCCACTAAACATTTCAGTGGGCGAGTGACAGGAATTACTAAGATTATACAGCGCTCAGAAGACTATGTAAAATCCTAGTATTGTTCTATAAACAACAGTGGAGACGTGCCCATTACAGGAATCACATGCTCCAGCATTTCCAAGCATGGGTGGAATAAAAAATAAAAAAAACCACCCTCTGGAATTTTAAAATACTACTTCAGTATTTTCATAAATTTAAAAGACAGTTTCAAAAGTAAGTAAATAAATGACCATTTCGTCAAGTATGAATAAAAGTGGAGCAGTTTAACTCCATAATGACCGCACCTCCGGCAGACTTTGAAACATAGGGGAGGGGAAACAGGGAGAAATTACCACTAGTTTCTGGGACGTGGGAGGGAGAGCACAGAGAGAAATCAACCTGAATTATCCAATTCAGTTAGCCAAATTTACAGATTTGACCACAGTCCTGAAGAAGCACAACTAGTCTACAAAACTCTACTGCTTAACAAAACAGAGATGAAACACTGGGATCTTTTTTTTGGAGCTTCCCTGGTTCGGATAGACACTAACTCGCAAATTGAGCATGCCGATAAAAATTACTCCCACACATGCCAAGGCCAAACCAGAGCAGAGTCAACTCTGAGTTCGGGATCCCTCCCGTGGCGCAGCTTTCAGACAGAAGCCCCCCCTGCCTTGGGTGGGGGACAAGGGGGAAAGTTCAGCATGGAAGTCCCGGGCTATTAAACCCTCCTCCTCGATTTCTTCAGTTCCTGCTCGCTAATGCTAAAGAGATGACAGGGGAGGGCAGGCCAGTGATGGCTCCTCTGGAAGGGGTACCCCCGGGGGCCTCCCCCAGATCCCGGAGTCCACAGGTTTTCGCCCAGGGCTGAGAATCCACGAGCAGGTCTAAAAGGGCTGGGGCAAGAGGAACAGTCACCTTCGCCGGGAGAAAGGGGGCGTAGGCAAGCACTCCGGTAGGGATCTCTAGAGCGGGCAGGCTGAGCCAGACCCCACCTGGGCACCCCAGCAGGTAGGGTGGCCCTGCGAGTACCGCCCAGGCCCCCGCCCCCACTGTTGGGGGAAGGGGCGGAGGCACCGGGGCTCCGCAAACCCAGCCGGAGGAAGAGGAGGAGAGGGAGGCGGGGCGGGCAGGCCCGGCCCAGGAGCGGGGCGGCGCGACTCACCTCTGCTCCCGGCCTGCGGAGCCAGAGTGGCCAGGATCCCTCGCAGCTCCGACGCGGAGATCCGGACACGCTCCAACCCGTCCGCCATCTTCGTGGCTGCTGCTAAAGCTGCAGCCACTCCGCCACCGTCGCGCGCAGCCAGGAAACCACGACCGACCGACGGGCGGTGCGCGCGCTCACCCACCTCCCACCCTTTTCCCCGCCCCCTCCCGCCTTCCTCCCCAAACGACGGTGGCCGCGCTGGGAGGAAAAGCGCTGCGCGCACGTTCGGCCACTAGGGAGAAGAGCCGCCGAGCGAGGCTGGGGGGCGGGGGGAGCGGGAGGAGGGAAGCTGGCGCCGCGCGTGCGCAGAGGTGTGATCCGGGAAGGTGAGCTGAGGCTGGAAACCGAGGCTCGGCGCCGGTGAGGTGAGCTGAGGCGAGGCGAGCCCTGGCGACAGGCGCGGAGTAGCTACTGTTGCTTCCGTAGTGGCCATCGAGGACACTGGTGCGGGTCTGGGGCTCGGGTTGACGGAGACTCCCACTGTCCGGCTTCTTCCAGCCATCCGGCCAGGGTCTCCCCCCGCAGCCACAGCCGCAGCCCGGTACCAGTGTCCCAAGCTTTTACTGTGACCCCTAAAGACCTTGCAAGAGTAGTTATTATTATTCCCCTTTTAAGATCAGGAAACTGAATCCAAGATGGCTGATAAGTGCTGGAATATCTCCTGACGTCCTTTTTTACTGCTGCTGACGGGCGGGGTTGGTGAAAGTAAATCGGGGGTATTCAAAATCGAGTGGGGATTTCTGTGTCACTGTGGCTCCGCAGGAAAATTACTTGATGTCCCTAGATCTCAGGTGGTGGTTGTTTTTCCCGTCATTAACATGTAACTGGATCACAAGGTACTTTAACCTCCTGCTCATGAACCCCTGCTCAGAACTATGGCGAACACGCTCGCGGAAGGGCTCCCAAGCCCTGTTGCTCCTTTTCAGTCCCAGTCTGCTGTGCCTCATCAAAGAATACTTACGTATTCCTGAGTTTGGGCAATCTGACAGAACTCATTCCATTTCTTTTAAGTGACAGGCCCTTCACCTCCTGCAGGTGGTGAAATAGAGGCACGGAAAATTCAGCCCTTCAAAAGAAGGGGAGTAATTTGTGTTGTCAGAGCAAATGGCAAGTTTTTAAATAAGTATGAAAAAGAAGATTAGATCTGTAGTCACATTAAAATTGGAGAGGACATTGCATAATTTTTTAAAGGGTGGAAAATAAACCGAGACAAAAAATCTTCGCGAAGAAAAAGCATGATTGCCGTATTATTCCAACAGTGTCTGTGAACTGCCGACGAGATATACCAGAAGTTAAACCAGCTCCGAAAAGTTTACCAGAACTCAGAGGGAAAATAGCAGGTAAGTACTATGAGTTGGAAGGTTTGAAGACATGGAGAATGGATCCAGAAAACAATCATATACTCTTTTCAGAGGGTGGTTGCAGATCTGAGAAGAAGCAGTAATCAAAGAAGTAATAGAACATTAAGGTGATAAAAATTTTTGAACAACTGTTAGGTTAAAGGGTTCTTGAAAATACTGGATAAAAGTTAATGAAAAGACAAGCATATTTAGACCTGTTATCGCAATTAAATATGTAATATGTATTGACATGAAATGGTCTTCAAGATGCATCATTAAAATTTTGTTTTTATAACCTATAATAGACGGATTTATACTGTTGTTTTAGCTGAGCTCAATAAAACCATTTACTGCTGATGTAAATTTCTACCTAAGAATCAAAAAGGTGTGGCAGGATATATACCAGGCCTTTTTAAAAGTGATTCTCTTGTGGAAGAGAGATCTGACGATAGAGAGTGAAAGTGTTTTATATATCTGTAGTGTTTTAAATTGCTACAGTAGTGAGTTGGTCATATTATGTGAATAATTCCAAACAAGCAAACTTGGGTAATGGGCGAGGGGAAAATTCCATTTCTAAAAAACAAATCATGTGTGTCACATTTGCTGAACACAAATATTAAAGCTAGAATTGTATGTAGTTTTAAAATTCATTAGCATTTGGAAGCTTTTTAAAAAAAAAATTGCTTGATTATATGCATAGAAGACTGGGGTGAGGGGGTGAGAGGACTCACCAGAGACAGAGTGGGGAGCAGAACAGACAGAATCACTGAAACACACTGCTCAGGGGAGCAGCAGAAGAGACAAAAGAGGTCTGTCATACCATGTGTGAGTCAGCATCCTGGCTGGGGATAGAACCCAGGTGGTCAGGATGATAGCGCTGAGATTTAACCCCTGGAAGTTTATTTTAATTACCAATTTTAAATAATTCAGGGATTAAAATGTAAAACTAGAACTGTGTATTCTCTAGAAATTAAGATTAATGAAAGTATTTTATAACAAAACCTATGTTAAAGGTGTACTCATAGAAATTGGTGGCATTGAGGGCTTTTATTCTAAATAAGTGAAAATTAGTAAGTTTGATATTCAACAAAGTTAGAGAAATAAGATAAAGGGATAAGTCAAGATAAAGTCAGATTAACAAGAATGAAAGAATAGTAGAGATAATATACTGAAGAGCTTGTTCTTCAGAAATAAATGCTAAAATGGGCACATTTCTGGCCAAAAAATGGAGGGGAAAAAAAAACCCAGACTATTCTCTCAGTTTTCTCATAGTAGTTCAAACTTATTCAGTCTCTAATTTTCCCCTAAAATATTCATGTCTTTACCAATCTTTTTATCCCAATAAATTATACCATCATCTAAAACCAGGAGTTCTCTTTGACACATAATTTCCCTTACTCTCCATATTCAACTTCGTATCAGGATATGTCTCTTCTTTATTCATCACCTCAAAGTTCTCCTTTTTCTCTTGGAAATTCCCCTTCACTCTCACTCAGAAATACTTTGTCTTTCCTTTTTTTTCTTCTTTCTTCCGTCACTTCATTTGTTTGTTCCAATTTTTCCCTCAGGTGCCAAGAATTGAAGTAGTCACTACCTTGCTCAATTTCACCTTTTTATCCCTTCATTCCAGTTTCCACTCAAGCTTCTCCTTCCTCAGTGACCCACTCTAGTATGTTTAATATATGTCCTTAGATATACATGTGTCTTTAAAAAATATATAGTACTTTTATGTATGTATGTGTTTTAAATGTAACTGATACTGTGTTGTAGAAATCATTGTTTCTTTTTCATGTTTCTGTAAATACTTCTGAATATTGCATAGTTTTATCTTACATAACTCTCTCCCTTTGTCACTGGTATCAAGCCATGATTGGCCAATCAGAATCCTTAACCCAATTTTTTTTTTCATTGAAACTGAGAGAGAAAAAAATATGCAATGTGGAAATCATAAAAATGTAAAACAGAGGAGCTGTCAGCAGCCATGTATCCTTCCATACATGTGGAACGGTCTGATCTGCAATGAAAAAGAATGAAGCCAACGTGAAGAAAGCATCAGAAGTGAGAACAACGAGAAAGTCCTGGAAAATCTCAAGTTCCTGGTTCCAGTTCTTCCTGAGGCTTCATATTCCTGCCCTTCCCATGGTTCTCTTCCTCCTTGCATTCCACAAGCCACTAAATTTCATCGCTTTCAACTAGTGCCTAAGCCAGTTCAAATTTGGGTTCTATCATGTGTAATCTGGAAGCCAAGCTAATTATAATTTCCAAAAGCTATCTTTTCCCATTATATATATATATATATCCTTAATATTTATTTGCTGTTGAAGAGCTGGGTGTAGGCAAGAGGTGTGGGGTGTGAGTGGGGAGCAGAACAAATAAATTTACTAAAATACACTGCTGAGTGGAACAGCAGGCAAGACAGGAGAGTTCTACTATGCCATCAGTGAGTCAGCTCCCTGGCTGTGGATTGAACTCAGATAGTGGTGGTGACAGCGCTGAGATTTAACCCCTAGGCTACCAGGGAGGCCCTTTATATTTTTTTAAGTTATGGTAAAATACACAGAATTTAGCATCATAGTCATTTTTAAGTGTATAGTTGGGTATTAAGTTTATTCATGGGCTCTCCCTGGTGGCGCAATGAATTAAAGCACCACATTATGAAGCTCTCCAAAGCCACTGCAGCACAAGTTCGATCCCCAGCCAGGGAGCTGACCCACATGGCGTGGCAGATGACTTCTAACCCACCCACTGCTACTCTCAGCAGTGTACTTTGTCAGTTTGCTTGTTCTGCTCCCCACTCTGTCTCTGGTGAATCCTCTCACCCACCACACCTCTGGCCTATGTCCCAATTCTGTAAGCATAAATAAACAAATCAAATCTTTTTTTAAAAAAAGTTCATTCACAACCCATTAAGAAATTTCCTGTTCCTCCTCCCTCCTATCCACAACAACCATTCTACATTATTTTCTTTAAAAAATTTTTTTTTATTTTACGTTCTATGAATTTCATTACTCTGTACTTCACATAACTGTAACCATACAGTATTTGTCTTTGTGATAGTTTATTTGACTTAGCCTTATATCAAGATTATCCATGTAGCAAATATCAGTTTTCTTCCTCTTTAAGGCTGAAAATAATATTCCATTGTATGTATATAACACATTTTGTTTATTTGTTGATGGACTCTTGTGTTGCTTTCACCTTTTGGCTATTATAAATAATGCTGCTATAAACATAAATGCAAAACTATGTCTTTGAGACCTTTCAATTGAACCCAGAAGTGAAATTGTGAATCATATATTTCTGCTCACTTTATTTTTTAAGATTTATTTTATTTGCTTATGCATAAAAGAGCTAGGGTTTGGGCCAGAGGTGCTGGGAACTGAGGATTCACCAGAGAGTGAGTGGGGAGCAGAATAGGCAGATTTACTGAACTACACAACTGACAGAATCCATAGGCCAAAGGAGAGGTCTGCAGTGCCATGAGGACTAGCTCTTTGGCTGGGGATAAAACTTGTTCTACTGGGAATAAAAATTGCTTCAGAATGCTGAGACTTAACCCCTTGTGCCACAAGTAAGGCCCCTATTTCTGCTTTTTTGAGGAGCTTCCACACTGTTTCCCATAACAGCTACACCATTTTGCATTCCCATTAAGAGTGCACAAAAGTTCCAGTTTCTCCAATTCTCTGGCAATACTTGTTATTTTTGTTTTATTTTCTTTAAATATTTATTTACTTATGCATATAAGAACTGGGATACAGAGGTGTGGGAGTGAAAGGATTCACCAGAG